ACAGATATAAGAACATCACACAGAAAACAACTGAAGTTCTTGGGTTGGGTTACTTTGATGGACCATGAGGAATGAATTGTTAAGGATGATTCTGAGTGGTGGGGAAGATTGTGATGCCATTAATAGATGAATTCAGAGACATGGCTAATTTGAAAGGAAAGATAACAAATTGGGCTTTAAACATAGAAGATATTTGCAAATATTTATTAAGTGCCTGCTCTATGTGAGGCATTGTTCCAAGTACTTTACATGTAGTAACTCACAACAACCCATGAAACAACTACCATTATTGGTCCTATTGTACAGATGTGGAGAGAGACCCTATCTATGTCACCCAGCTAATAAGTGATAGAGCCAAGTTATGAAGGCAGGAAATCTGTTTCCACAACTTTTGGTGTGGAAGGTTCCAGAGTTTATAAAGTTCATTACTATTGCAATGTTCTTAATAACTCCAACCATATTCATTTAATTTGAGCAACTTACAACACCCTTAGTATTTATTTAATCATTTTTCACATGTCCTTGATCCTCTATTTGTATATTCATTTTACAGATATGGATTGGGCAGTATACTAAACTTGCTGCTGCTGATCCAATAGTGAACAAATACTGCTCACTTCTCCAAGGAGCTCACATTTAATGAAAGAGGCAGGCAACTATCACATAAATATCAGATTTCAAACTATTATATCCTGCAAAGGAGGAAAAAAGAGAGCGCTATAGGAGAAGGTGACTATTTAGACTGGGGCAAAAAAAAATCTTTCTTTATGAAATATTTGATCTAAAAGCTAAAAGATGAGTGGATTTTAACCAGCTGAAGATGGCAGAACATGTGCACAGACCTCAATGGCCGTTATTTCCCTCAATCTTTCCCTACGATCCCTCTCCTGCCCCTCCCTCTCCTGTCCTCTTGCTCAGAAGAGAAGTCTGTGACATGGATAGCTAAAATGGGTAGTAGTCCTAACTGTGTCTTTAGATGTTAACCCCACACACAGGTTGGTGTCTGCTGTCTGTTTTCTTCACTGTTCTGACCCCAGTGGCTATAACATTGCTAGCCACAGAACAGTTATCAATATAGATATTTATTGGAAGAAGTGATTAGCCATTAGTTAATTAGGTATACAGAAAGTAGGGAGGACATTATAGGGAGTTCATCTCTGGATGAGGAGAAACTTTCTACCAATTAGAGGTGTTTAAAGAAAGAAGGCAGATTGATATCAGAAATATCTCTGGATTTGACTTGAAAGAAATCAATCAGCTACTTGCTAATTTTGATCCTGTGCAAACCACTTAACTCTTTAAAACTTAGCCTTCTTACCTATTAATTAAAGAGAATGTTTTTCCTGCCTAATTTACAAGGTTGTTGTGAATGTAAGATAAAATAATCTAAATAAAAGAGTCTCGTATAAGTACTTATTAAGTACATTTCTATTAGCAGGTTGAAACAGTGAAACTCAGCTAGCTGATACCTGACACTGTCTTTGTGGTATCTGGTAATGGAGATTCTTCTCTTAGGTGGGAATTTGAATGAAGTGAATCAAATCCCTTCCAATTTATATATACAGTGACTATGACACATGAATCTATTACTTAACCATGTATATAAGTTGTATTTTGAATTTATAATGCCTGAGTTAAAATTCTGAAGCACAGGATAAATATCATATAGATCAAAATGCAAGAAATACCCAGAAGCTTGTTTTGTTTAATGGTGGAGAAACAGCTTAAACTGTTTGATTCCACCCAGAATTTACAAACTCTCCATGTTATCATCTCTGCAGCTATGTTTTCCAAGCTGCAAGAAGAAAGAGGGTCCCTTCATCTAAATGTCAGTGATTGGGGTTTTAAGGAATTTCAAATTATCAGGAAGGTCCCAGACACTTGGTGATTCCCTGGTGATCTGAAAATCTTGCTGGCTGCTGGCAGGAGTCCTGCATAGAGACTAAATTTTATCTTTGCTCTTTTGGAAAAGTAAAGAAACCACAAATCCAGTGGCTGTTCAAAACAACAAAGAAGGGTTGAGGTGCCTTTGGCTTCTGACAGGAGTGTCTCTGAATTCCTCAAGGAATTCCAGGCCTAGGGTTGATCCAGCTGGCAGGAGGTATCGATCTCCACTTGAATTCACTGAATAAATAATGGTTGCCATAGTTATTGAGCAGTTGCAACTGGCTGGAGAGCAGAGAAAACTCTGCAGCCTCTTCTGTGAGTTTGGCCCTGAGAAGGTCTGACTACAAGGTTCCACAACCAGCCCCTGCCAGAAATCCAACGAGATGCTCAGTTTCTTCATCCTGATGATAAATATGGAATCTCAAATATTATGTAAGACATGAGACAATGAAAGGAAGGAAAAGTTTAAATCAATGGATTGGCATTTTATTCTGAGAAAAGCTTCTCTTTCTAGTTTGTGACTCTAATTTGATATAGCTCAGTATTAACAGAATTTAGTATCAGCAAGGTGGTATTTGATCATATTATAGGTACTTGAGGGCTAATCAAAGGACAGACTCTCAAGTTGTTCTGTTTTAAAAGTTATTATGCAAACAACACTAGCATGAAAATTTTAAAAGAAAGGTAAAAATGTTATCCAATAATCTCAAATATTTTCAGTTTTTGTTTCCTCACATTCTTTACTATATGCAGAAATAATTTCTCATAGATGTAATCACACTTTAGATACTACATAATATTCTGCTTTTCATTTAATGTTGTATTTTTTCATGTTGCTTCATACTCTTTGTATTGTCTTTTTTAATGTCTACAGATTCTTCCATTGTATGGACATACCATTATTTACTTATCAGTTCCCCTGTATCTTTTCCCAGTGCTTTGTTTTTGGTCTTGGGGGATGGGTTTGGTAATAGATAATGCTACACCAAATCTCTCTATGCATACAGTTTTATTTTTCTATTGAATTTTTCCTTTGGATAAATTCCCAAGAGTGGGATTACTTGGTCAGAGACTATGAACATTTTATAGCTCTTGAAATTTACTGCCAAATTTGCAGCCTGCTTTTTATGCTTGGGTGTGTGGGGGGAGATATAACTTTAGGCAGACCACCACTGCAGGCAAGATCTCTCTTGAAGTTTACTCTTGGGTGCTTCTTTTGAGACTAAAACACAGGGGCTATGTATTTAGTAAAGATAAACCAGAGAGGGGAAGTTTGCACCTGTGCTAATTAGCTAGCGGTTTCCTGGGGAAAGCATTGTCTGCAGTGCAGAGCTTGGGAATTAGGGGATTTTATTGCCTTTGTCTGATCTTTCAGTTGCCATCCACTGGCCAAGTGTCAGCCATTGTCTTTGGTGCTGACTTTCCTTTCACCTAGGGCCATCTTTGTTGAACCTCACAACAAACCACGGAGGTGGCTTTTTATTATAATCACATGTTTTCTTTTATTGTGTAATATTTAAGATGAGCAAGAAGAATTAAATAAAGACTCGCATATCTACCACCCATGATCCCCATTTTCCTATGAAGACATTGAGCCTTAAAGAAATTTGGTCACATGGCTAGTAAGTGACAAAACTACAGCTAGATTCAGGTCTGACTCCAAGCACAGTGGCCCCTTCTCTATAGAATGTTGTATTGTAATGAGACACCCACAAATTAAAATCCCCTGGGAGGCTGCTGGCGATTTTCATGGTTCATTTTGATACGATTTAACACATCAGATCTGGAAGGGACCTTAGAGGTCATTAAATCCATCCTCATCCCTTGACAGGACATTAGAGAGCAAGGAACTTGCCCAGGTCATACATAATTGGCCAAACTGGGGAGAAGGCAGATTTTCTGATTCTCTTATTTGGGACAAGAGAAAAGAAAAATGTCTGAATAATTGCTTCCTTTTTTGATAGGCTTTTGCTTTAGGGAAATAACTTTTCTAACAAAAATATTTCCAACTAAAAAATAAAATCTAGGAGAATTAGGAACTAATGCTTGATTTCCTATTAGAAGGATAGCTCCTGTGTCTTTTACATGTAAATATACCAAGAGAGTTAAAACTTTGAGACAATGGAGACTAAGCTCTTTCCTTAGAAAAGAGACACTGCTTTCTAAAATCTGAGGGAGAGAACAAAGTGACTTGTGTTGGATGTTTGGCTCTTTTCTCTTCATAGGGAGATGCAACGGTGATCTGCTACAAGAGTTCAATCTACCTCCAAGATGGGGTTCAAATTCCAGCTTTTAGCAACTGTGTGGAAAAATCACTCAACCTTATGTATCAAATAGATCAGAATATTTCACATAGGGGTCATTTTACATATTGTTCTATAAAATAAGAGAGTAGTATTCATGTGTTGATATATTATAAAATGCCAGCACCACATCCTCTGGGCCTTTTCCTCTTTTCTGTGACTTTTCTATCTCCACAGCAAGAAGTTGGTGTATTTTATAAAGAGTAGGTCAATAGGTGTTTCAAGAGGAGAAGGAAAAGAAAAGCTGGATTCTTCCTGATGCTGGTTAGCATGAAAACACAGGAATACACTTTGGATTGGTCTTGTGGGGCAGCCCTTGTCATAGCAAATAGAACTTTCAGCCTCCCTTCCTCCTTTCAGTGAGTCTGTCAAGAGGCCAGTATTAATTCATTGGCCCAGGTGTATTTCCTAACACTCTGAAAAGAAGTTGTCTACCAACAGGGTCTCAACAGTTGTAAGACCTCAGCAGTATAATGTGTGCAGAACAACAAGCACCCTGTCATGCATTCAGGGCAACACATGTGTTGTTCACCTAAGTTGACCCTCCCAGAAACCCTGAATTAGGTATGATCAGTATCTTTATCTCTTAAGGAAACTGAGGCTCACAAGCTAAGAGACTTACTCAATAGCATTCAGCAAGTTAAATGGCAGGACTGGAATTCAAGCCTTGGTGTTAATTCTACCTCTCAGAAGAAAGGTGCTTTCATTATATAATGCCGTCCTAAGTGACAAGGGACACAGACCTTGATTAGAGGTTCAGAGTATCTTTAGATGCGTCTCCTAAATTTGCCCGTTTCTATCCCTCTGCAGAACGACATGGGTTAAAAGAACCAAAGAGAGTGGAGGAGCTATGCAACAAGATCACAAGCAGCTTAAAAGACCACCAGAGTAAGGGACAGGCTCTGGAGCCCACCGAGCCCAAGGTCCTGCGTGTGCTGGTAGAACTGAGGAAGATCTGCACCCAGGGCCTCCAGCGCATCTTCTACCTGAAGCTGGAGGACTTGGTGTCTCCACCTACCGTCATTGACAAGCTCTTCCTGGATACCCTACCATTCTAAGCTGGAGCAGCCTGAGCAAGGAGCCACCTCCTCTGCTGGCCCCTGGGTTAAGCAGCAAAGGAATGGGTCTGGACGCCTCCTATTTTCTGTCCTTCCTTCAGAGAAAAAGCAGCTCCTGTAGAAAGCAAAGACTTTTTTTTTTTTTTTCTGGCACCTTTCCTTACAACCTAAAGCCAGAAAACTTGCAGAGTATCGTGTTGGGTTGTGTTTTATATTTAGGCTTTGGAGGGTGGGTGGGAGGGGCATAGTTCATGAGGGTTTTCTAAGACATGGCTAACAAAGCACTTTTGGACTATGCTATCCCAGCAGGAAAAAAAAAAGAAGGATAATATAACTGTTTTAAAACTCTTCTCTGGGGAATATAATTATGGTTACTTTGTATTTAAAAACAAGACCAGCCAAGGGTTGTTTGCCAGGGTAGTATGTGTCTTAAGATTGATCCCTTTACAATACACTTCCTGTATCAAGGGTATGTATGTGGTGCAAACAAGGCAGAAATTCCCTTTCCTAATTTCTTTCTTCATTTATTTTATTTTAAAAAATGGTAAAAGATGGAAGATTACCTACACATCAGACATAGCAAAATAATAATGGCTGTTCGCTTCCATATACAAGTGCAATTTTTTTAAAGTGCTGTCTTACTAAGTCTTGTTTATGAACTCTCTTTTTTTTATATATATGGGGGAAAAAAAAGAGGAAGTCATGTTTGCAAATGATATGCTAATTTTCCTAGTGAAGGTTTGGTCCACCTGCCCTGTAAAATCCTTCAGAGTATGGCCCTTCCAAGAATTTTAGGGCCTTTCTTAATGGAAGTAGGTCCCTGTCAACTGTCCAACTGTCCTGAAGGGGGATCAGACTATAAAATGGATGACATACAAATGCTGTGGTTGTGCTCTATCAATCTGAACAGGTTCTGTAAACTTGCTTCAGTTGTAGCAACCTACTGATACATTTACTCAGAAGCTCAAGGACTGTGTGGTTAATCAGTCAAGTTTTTGATCCCCAGATGAGAACACGCAAATATGTAGAAACTGGGTCATACAGGGTAAGCACCAGGAACAATAAGGATTTTTATATATATATATAAATTTTAATTTTTATTATTGGTTAAAGAGACAATTTTGGAGAGCAAGCAAGTCTTCTTAAAAAAAAATAGTATTAATGTGAATACTAGAAAAGATTAGTGGGCTGCGTTTCAACATTCCGTGTTTGTATTCCCTTTTGTATGTTTATATTGTTAATGCCATATTATTATGAGATAATTTGTTGCATAGTGTCCTTATTTGTATAAACATTTGTATGCACGTTATATTGTAATAGCTTTGCCTGTATTTATTGCAAGACCACCAGCTCCTGGAAGCTGAATTACAGAATAATCAAATGAGGTGTTCATGGTGACTTGGATACACCAACTAGAAATTAAATAAGCAAATATATATATATATAAATATAGCAGGTTACATATATATATATTTATAATGTGTCTTTTTATTAACCATTTGTACAATAAATGTCACTTCCCATGCCGTTATTTTATGGTTCATTTGCAGTGACTTTTAAGGCAGTACTGTTTAGCACTTTGATATTAAAATTTTGCTTATGTTTTGCTAAATTCAAATAATGTTTGAAGATTTTTAGGTCTAAAAGTCTTTATATTATATACTCTGTATCAAGTCAAAATATCTTTGGCCATTTTGCTAAGAAACAAACTTTGAATGTCAATCAGATGTTATGGTAGTTTTTGTTAGCTTGAGATCATTTTCGCTTTAGTTTTTTTAAAAGAAAAATAATAACAGAACTATGCTGTTTATATTGTCATTAAATTATACAATCAAACAAATGCCAAATGAATTGCCTAATTGCTGCAAAGTACAACCCAGATAACATCATATCCTTTTCTTGCAAGAATCAGTCTGATATTTGATCATGTATTATGTTTGTGTGAGCTTTTATGAAAGATGATTATTTTTATATCAAGATGATAGAGCCTGAAATGTTAGGATTTTGAACTGTTAGACTTAAAAGGGGCCTGGCTTGTTAACCAACCTCCTGAAATTCACAGAGGAGGAAACTGGGGCCCATTGAAGGGTAAAGAATTACCCAAAGTCAAACAGGTAATAACAGAATCAAGACCAAGGCTTAATTCACCTTTCTATAGTCTTTTTTCTCAACTTACTGCGTCTATAAGGAAATAGGCTTTTAAACATAACCACTAATATTAACATAATACCTGAAGATAACCATGAATACAGTAGTACTTTGCATTAATTTTTTCAGCTGATATGCAAACATAATAAACATTATTAAATATCAGGAAAGCTAACATTTCATACAAGATAGCTTCAGACCAAATTCAAATTGAATTTGAATAAATTAAAAGTATTGTGCATACATAACCTTCTTGTGCACCATGAGTGTTTAGAAAGTTAATTCTTGTTTTTGTCATGTCTGTGAAGGAAAGCAAAGCAAAACAAAAACACAGAGCCCTAAGGGAAATGCTGTTCTTTTTTATTTTTACACCCATGAGATTTAAGAAAAGACTGTTCACCATCATATCTATTGGTTTGGAGAAATGAAGAAGCTTTTTTAGTTATAGGTCCAGACACTAGTGCTGAAAATACAGATTATAGCCAGCATTCTTCTGTCTTCCATAGTTATTTCAACTATGAGAATCTCCCAAATCATCTATCAATTCAATGCGCTCTCTGTCTCTGTCTCTCTCCCTCTCTTTCTCTCTCTGTCTTAATGTTGACACACAAGTGTATACAGAGTGGATGACCACACTATCTCAGAAGAGGACAACAAGCATTAAAGCAGGTGACTCTTCCCCTTGTGGAAGAGCTCTCTCAGTGTGAACATGCCTTTCATGGGCAGAAATCAGGACTCCACCAGCTGTTAATGGAGAGTGCCTTGCTTTTATTTCTGACAGCAGAGTTTTCCCAAGTTCCTCTGCTCCTCTAACAGCATTGCTCTTTAGTGTGTGTTAACCTGTGGTTTGAAAGAAATGCTCTTGTATATTAACAATGTAAATTAAAATGATTAAATTAAATTACATTTTACCAATGGCTACTGGTGTGTTGAATAAGCATGCTTCATTTAACCATTTTTCTCTTAATCATTCATACAATATTTGCTGTGAACTCTTTAAACATAACCCAAAATGGATTTTTTTAAAAGGCCTAGTAATGCTGAAAAGTTAATAGGCATTCTGAATTGGAAATAGATTAAACTTCCACTGATTGGAAAGAAGGACACTCTAAATTCAATAACCATTTATCGACTACTTCCTGGAGGCAAAGCACTGCTGGGTGCTGTGAGACATAGAAACATGCACAGTGTATGAAACTCCATTTCTTTTCCAACTGTATATAACATGAATGGACCTAACTATTCCTAACAGTATTCTTTAGAGGCATTAAGGATTCATTTTCTATTAAGATTATAGAATATTCATTGTTTGTGAACAAAATTTAATAGAATCAGAGCTACAGTTCTCAAAAACTGAACAGTGCTTTCTGCCTTTTTGTTTTAGCCACTGCTACTACACAGCTGAGAAGCCCCATCTTTATGGAAAAGCAAAGAGTTTTTATCCAACACTACCTAAAACATCATATATTCTCAGTTAGTAGAAATACTTACTCTTTTTGTTTGTCGATGGCTGAAAAGTGGAAGTGTGATGGGAGCTCCCATAATTTAGTTCATCTGTTCAAGCATCGGGTATTTTCTCTGACATCTAAGTACCGTGTATGGTCTAGCAACCAAACCCTTGTTCCTGCTTCCTAACAGGACTTTCATTATCTCAACTATAAATATGAAAAGAGGTAGAGATAAGGGTGGCGGTCCATCTTGCATATGAATTAAAATGTAGGTGGTTGACCAAAAAGGAGAGAAAAGGTTAAGGCCCTTCTGTAGAGACAAAGGTCTGGTTTGAATGGGGAGGGAAGACAGGAGGTTCAGGGCTAAATAAGGTGCACTTGCCTATAAGTTGAATTTCTGTAAGTTAAATACACAAAGAAAAACATAAATTCATTGTTGACTTTTTCTTGTGGTAAAACACACATTACATAAAATGTAACAGCTGAGCCATTTTTAAGTGTACAGATCAGTAGTGTTAAATATATTTACATTATACAACCAGTCTCCATAACTTTTTCATCTGGCATAACTAAAACTATACCTATTAAACAACTCCCTACTCCCCTTTTCTGCAGCCTCTGGCAACCACCATTCTACCTTCTATCTGTGAATTTGTGAATTATAGAAATTGTGAATTTGTGAATTATAGAAATTGTGTTTTTGTGATTGGCTTATTTAACTTAGTATGTGTCAGAATTTTCTTCTTATTTTAAGGTTGAATAATATTCCCCTGTGCCTATGTACCTCATTTTGTTTAGTTGTTCATCCATCCATGAATACTTGGATTACTTCCATTTCCACCTCTTGGCTATTGTGAAAAATACTGCTATGAACATGGATATTCAAATACCTCTTGGATACCCTGCTTTCTATTCTTTTGGCTAATTGTTCACTTTTGAGCTTGAGTATGATTTAAGTCCTTCCTAAAAATAGTCTTGATGATTATGTGGATCTTGTTGTTGCAGTTGTTATTGTTGTTTGCCACAGGTACTAATTTCAGAAGTTCCCACTTCCTGTCTTCAGCAGGTACCTGAGATCACCATGAGCAAGGCTGTTTATAAACCTTTATTCTAAGGCTAGACTAAAAACTTAAAAGACCAGCATCTCAGAGGTTTAATATTTGTCCAAATATTTTTTCTTTGAAAGGGCCCAACTAGTTGAAAATGTCATCAAGTGTCAAAGAGGGATTTGTGCTACAGGCAGAACAGTACTGTTTACCTCTGTGTCTGTACAAACACGTGAGTAACACATTGTTACTTAACACCCCTCACCAGAAATAAAATTCTTCAAGAGATGCTTCAGAAAATTCTTTCTCAGAGCTATCTCTGACTGCTGTGTGACATTGACATGGGAATTACTTTGTTTGCTATTTTGTTTCTCTCTGACCTATTTCAATGGCTCCATCAGTGAGTCCAAGGATCATCTGTCCCTTCTATTGTCTGCTGTGATGCTGGCCATCTCCATGCTGGGCCCATGAGGGTATTTGATTTCAGGGGAAGAGAGACCTAACATTTATCAAGCACCTACTGCAAACACCAGACATCCTAGAAAACACTTTTATCCATGATCTCATTTAATGCTTATTACTTCTGTCACCAGATTCCAGTCACTAGGTCGAAAGTTCTTGGTTCATTGGAGAAGGAATTCAAGGATAGATAGACTTGAGCAGGTTTAATAACGCAAAACAAAGCAAAAATGCACCCTTCAGATTGGAAAGTGGGCAAGCTCAAGAAGGAGCTCTGCATTGGAGGTCCCCAAAAAACAAACTTTTATTGGAGTCTGTAGACATAGGGGTGGTCAGTCCTGAAAAACTGGATTAATGTGTCATTTCCAAAGACTGGGTTATATGTCATCAACTCCTCCCATAAGTAGGGCGGGGGAATTCTTGGCCTTGCATGGTCAGACTGAAGGTGTTATCTTCCATGGGCTGTGGGGGCTATGGGTCAGCCAGACCATGCTGTACCTTACAAGTTGTTCAGTGAACATCAGCAGCCCAGGAAGTGGTTCCTGATCAACATCCAAGCCATCATTCTCAACCATCAGGTTTCTTGACTGTCTGCCTCATTTCTTTATCACTTCTAAGACTATGTTATTACCCTGTGTCTAAAAAATGGGCAAAGAGACTAGGAGAGGGCAACTCAAGCCACAAATCCCATAGCTAGTATGTTGGATATTTAAATAGTATGTTGGATATTTAAATCCCATAGCTAGTATGTTGGATATTGGCTCTACTACTCCTGAAGTTGCATGGCTGTATTTTTGTACTACTGGCAGTATAGTAGATTTGCCCACCCTAGCAGCATGACCAACATGTGAGTAACGCATTGTGCTAAGACATCACTACTGCTAAGATATTACTAGGTGATAGGAATGTTTCAGTTCCATTATAATCAAAATATAGCAATACAACTATGCACAGTACGTAATTCCTGAGAATAATGAATGACTATGTAGTGTTTCCATATTTATTGTACCATATTTTCTATCAATATTTTAGAGTATACTCCTTCTACACTTATATATATAATCATATATATATGTATATA